CGGCGGCGGCGGCTGAGGGAGAACGACCAACGAACCAGGCCTTCCACAGTCAGATATGAATCTTCGTGCCCGGAGGGCGGCCCGCGCTTAACGGCAGGGGGCATCCAACAGGCCGGGATGGGCTGGGATAGCTAGTGGGGCGAGGGGATAGCTACGCGACGACGATCGCGACGACGATGACGACCAAAGAGTCTGCATAATAATTTATTCAGTTTAGCCTCGCTGTCGGTTCTCTTCGACGGCGGATCACTGTAGATCGTCTGCCCTGCCAACGTACATATCACGTTCTCAAGGACGCGCATGCATGACATTTAAGACGTGCAGCGTGTACGTTAAGCTACACTTCCCCGTTTGCAGACGTGGCCACGATTCGTACACCATTCGCGATCGCCGATTTATTTATTTATTATTTATGAACGATGTGACATATTATGTGGTGTAATCCACATAAGAGACAATGCATCGTTGGCAAACGAAATAATTAACGAGATTGCTCAAGAGGGCTTAGAAAATAAGTCGACGATGAAGTATACATTGTTAATATTAATTATCGTAGGATTTGTTCGACTGTAACAATCAAATATGGCACTGTGGTATAACTTCATTATCGTTTTCTGAATCCTGAAGTATTGTTTTCATCTTAGGATACCGATTTTAGGAAATTGCAAATTTTGTTGCAGATATTGTTCGCACGCGATTTGTAAGAATGACTAATTGTTAGACGTAATTCAACGCAGAATGCATGCCTTGAAACTGGAACTGAAAATCTAAATGTGCTCCTCAGATTATCATGCTTCTCAGTGAGAAGAAAATATTTTCTAGAAGTTGTTAGCTAGAAAAATTTGTTGGAACATGATACAAAAGGAAAATAATGGAATGACATTGCTGTGATAAATCGAAAAAATTTTTGAATAATGCAATTAGAATGAAAAAATAATTTCAAGGCAGAATAACAATTCACGGACATTCGAAGATTGATAATTTTGTATATTCGAACGATAAATCGGAAAAATGAACCTCTTAAGTATGATAAAATATTTTCTCGTTTGTAAAATTAGCGAACAAAAATTAATTCGCTTGATAAGAGATTAGATGTTGGAAGATTCTTGTTTACTTTTGGCAAAGATAAAAACGTTGCAATTATGTTTAGTGACGGTAGACTTCGTTCTTGATGTGAGAACGAGATTGACAATTTTGTGTATTCACGAAATATTATTTTTTATTACTTTCTACATTTGATAGATTTCTTTAAAAATCCATCAGTTCTGCTGAGTGAAGTATTACACGTGTAAAAACACTCCTATTATATATTAGTGTATTCTTCTATTCATATAAATGTGAATTTGCGTAAACATTTTCAACCTATTTCTCTTCACATTGGGCAATTAATACATTTATTTTATTTAATTTAACTTTTAGCTTACGCTTGCCACTGTTTACTTCTTCAAAGTCGATTTTAATCATTCATTATTTGTATAATATCTTTGAATGATATATTCACGGTCGGTTTTACAGGTTGATCCGAAGTATAAAAAGATCAAATACAATCTTGCACGACCATTAAGCAAAAAAAAAGGTTGTCATGTTCCATCAAGTTAAAGTCAGGTATTTCTGCATATTTGATTTGCGTTTAAAAATCGAATGTTCATAGTATTCATAAGCGGAGAACTTTTCTAATAAAATTTTATTGTGACGTATATACTTGTAATCAATGATTTACGTAAATCACAAATGTTTTCTGCTTTTTCTCTTCACGTATTGCGTGGTTTGAATCAAAAATAATTCTGATCTTCTAAAAATTTAAGAATTCTATCTACAAAATTTCATTTGGAATTTTTTTATTATCGATACAGCAAAAACAATTGAACTTGATCTTTGTTTGATCTTTACTTGCAATTTGCACGTAATAACGCTGTCTGTGAAACCTTTCATAATAATTGCATAAGCTTCGATATTTATATCACTTATTAAACGTGCCAGGCATAATATATTAATTTTTGCAGTAGCTGCAAGAGATTTTTTTTTACGATAAATACGTTAAATATTCAAGATGTCAATCGACTTTAGCAAAAAAAGAGAAAAACCGAGTTCCACTTGACAAAATTCACGCATATTTGTTGACCTTCACGATTCTGTAAAAAGAGCAAGATCCACGTGTACTTTATGAAAATATTCATAAATATTCATGAATTTCGAGTAACATGTGCCTCTCTCCAGTACGCACTCTGTATGTTTATTTTAATGTAGATTCATCATCATTTCCAGGTCAATCTCGTTGTTACGTCTGATTCGTTGCAGAGAAACTTACGCGTTGCTTTGTCGCTCGATTTTTTACTGTGTTAGTCCTTTCACGGTTAACGGGACATGCCACAATTATAATATAAATCAATATAATTATAAAATATTTATACTTTTTTCGTTGTATCCTAACTCGATTATATCGACATCTGACGATATTCACCCAGTACGTAAAAGCCAATTTCAAACGAAATACACGCAATCGCCATTTACGATCGATTATCCGTTATTATCGGATAAATCTTCAATTCAAAGAACTGAAAAAAATTTCAACTTTCCTTTCAAAAAGATCTCTCACGCAATTCTCGTAACGAACACGATCGTAAGAAACAAGGAGTCAAGCCTCGGCAAACCTCTGAATCTTAACCGAAGGGAGCAACAGGACACGACAATACTATCCTGTAGGAGTCGTCGTCGTCGTTGTCTCGACTCGGCGAAAGCACACGCGGCGGTCCCATAAATCCTGGAAATCAATCGTGGCCGCGCGCGGACGGCACGAGTGCTGGTAAAACGTCCGGCGTGTCGATAATGAACGCGGACAGGCCGGAATACGTTTCCGCGGTATCTTGATAGCAACGGGGCACACACGGACGTACGTGTACAGGGCGGGGCAGGCAGGCAGGCAGGCAGGCGTAGTGGGAGCAGCCGGAGGTTCCGGTTTTCCGGGATCGGCGTTGCAGACATGCCGGACGCGGCTTTTCGGATGATTGGCCGGCCAGTGCGGCCGACACGATCGGTTTCCGGTCACGGGCCGTCGAATTCCAGGTCGCCGCCTCGCGTTCGCTCTGCGAGAGAGCGCTTGGTCCCTTATCGATTCGCGCCTCGTCGTTAGCGATCCGTGAGAGAGGTACAGCGCCGAGCGAGAGGCAAAAGAAAGAGAGAGAGAGAGAGAGAGAATCGAAGAGACTCCGACGACCACGAACACACAACCGGCACCCAAGAGGAGGAAAGGAAGAGAAAGAGAACTTGAGGGGAGGATCCTCTCTTCCGTTGGCTTTTTACGAGCGGATCGACGCCGCTTCGAGAGGATGGAAAAAGCCTTAGCGCGCGATTGTAGGCTGCGGCGGAGAATGGCTCTCCGGGGCTTACGTGAAAGCGACACCCGAGTCACGATGAGCTTTCGGCGGTGAACCTCCGGTGGGTTTGGCACGGAATCTCGCCGGAATGCCGCGCGCCACGGCTATTGATTCGGCGAGAATTTGATCGGTGATTGCAGCATAGTTTGGAATTGCTGGCTTGGTCAAGGTCACACACCGTGTGGGCTGCTCGGTCTCCTATGGTCGTGGAGATTCTTTCTCGAGCGGGTATGAAGTTGGTGATCTCGTTGACGTGGCTTGGAATGAGATAGAAATACTTTCGTGAACACAGTCCATCACGAAAGTCCAC